GGGGGGAAGGGGGGGGGGGAAGGGGGTTGTGACGAAAGATGAGGGGGAAGAATTTCATGCATGGAAACGTCCATGTGCGTGGGATTACTCAAAGACTCTCGTTTCCTCATTTCCAAATCGCTTCGGTTTGGCGAACTTTGTCTAATGGGAAAATTTCTCGATTTTTTGAGCCGTGGAATTCCCGCAAATGTTGACGAAAGTCTGTGCAAGCAGACGGACAGACGGACAGACGGACAGACGCGTGCACAGACGCACGCACACACGCGCACTCTCACGCACGCCCAAGCGATTACGTAAGCAGTTCGTTCCCTTTTTGAAAGGAAGGAGACTCGCTATAAAAGGTGTGGAACGGAAGTTGGAATCCACACCCTTCGGTCTTTCCGAGAGCGAAATCGTCCTCAGGTTTTCGTCTGGATTCCTTCCACGAGCGGCCGTTTCGAATGGACGGAATCGTCGAGTTCGTCCGCAGAGTTCGTTTCTCGGATTCGCTCGGAGTCGAAAGTCGCACGTGTCAAAGATCCTCTGCTCGTTCTTGATATGCCGAGAGCATTGCGTAAGAAACTGTGAGCGAAACGAGTCCAACTTGCAAAATGAGAAAAATGCGAGACGAGGAAAGCTGGTCGATGCGCGCGTTTCGCTTTTTCCTAAGTTCCGAGTGTTGGCATTTCTACAAGCGGCAAACTTTTTTTTTTTTCATTTTCCACACTTCTCTTCGCTTTTCTGCGGACGGCCACTGGAAAGTGGTATCACATTGCCACCCTGTCGCCTTGGCTACCTTGCCACCTTCGCCACCTTCGCCACCATGGCCGCTGAATTTCAAGGCAAATTGGCACGACGAGAACTGCTTTCTTGGCGTCTCCTTCCTGTTCCTTTTTTTTTCCTCCTTTCGTACGAAGGCCTTGTTTTCCGTGTGGGCCACCCGGGTTTCATCAGATCTCTGAAGAAAAAGGTCGAACGACGAGGTATCTCGATGCCATGAGTTCCCGGCCAGATTTTGCAATGCTTTCATTCCATCGTGCTCGTAAACGGAAGGAGAAAACGCGAACGATTTGAATAAACGCATCGATTGCCGCTCTGCCGACGGAATGCAAACCGGTTGAAAAACTGTTAAACACAGGCAGCAACGCTCAGGAATGCCATTGAAGCCCTCTAATGAATCTAATTACTAAAACACAAATCGTTATGGACGAAACTATTTTCTTGCATATTTGTGGCTTTCTGCATTCAGTTTTCGATTCTTTAACACGCCTGTCGGAAATTGCTTCGTTTCGCTGGAGTTCTCCTGTCCTCGTATCGACCACTTTCACAACGAAATCCGAGCCGCAACTCAACCTGAACTGGAAGCGAAATGCCATTTTGAAATCGATTTCCGGGCCTACCTTCATTCGCAAACACGAAAGCTGCCTGAAACTCCGAAGCGTCTCTCCATGCATCACTGCTCACGGGCCGCCTTTCGTTCGCTAGCCTATATGGTCCTCAGGGGAAGAGAGGGCCTGTGCTTGTAGACCTCTTGTCCATCTCGGAAAAATAATGGTCGGTCGTGTGAGGCAATGAGGTTTATGTACATGGTTCACTCACCCTTTTTCAAGCTTGAATACCGATAATTTAGTGGATGGACCAGTCTTCCCTGCGATCCTTCCCACGCTCTCAGCGTTGATTACGATATCAATGGTTATCAGGAGAGTGCCCTAGAATGAATTTTCTTGCGTCCAGGAAAAAATGGCGCAACTTTTTCCTCTTAAAGGACATGAGCGTAGCGTGGGTGGGAAAAATGGGGAAGGGGAAACGTTAGTGTTGCCACCCGTTCATAATTAGTATGGACAGTTCATATTTCAGATGCAATGTCCATACTGCAAATGCAAGTATACTTCATATATTTGTCCACGGATCATATGTCCATATTTGACTAATTTCAAAGGTGGCAACCCTAGGAAACATTGTGATAATGTTATGAATTTCAGCGGTACTTTCCCTTTTTATTTGCAGCTTCTTTTCTTGAAAAGTGGGAAGACTACGTGCCACCCCTGCCCCCCTCACCCGACGCTACGCCGCTGCTAAAGGAAGATATGCGTTTTATGGACCGTGGCACCTCCATAACCGTATCTGTTCTGTGAAGCATGGACTCAGGAGCCAGGTTGCATGCCACTCAGTTGAGCCATGCTGCAAGAGGTGCCAATTTTTAACTGAAATTATGTATTTTAATGGGCAGAAAAACTAATTGTTGTTGCGAAAATTCAAGTAAAATTCATTCTCCCTAAATAAAAATAAAATTCGTCTCAATCTATGTCCAGAGATGTTTTTGAGACTGAGCAACACTGCCTACCACACACGTGCTGTCGAGATTATTCATCACAGGTGATTGTTCCTTGTGAGGGTGGTTGACGCCCTTCCTGGAACCATCTGTCTCATTGTCTTCCGTTCAATCTCATTTACTCAGGGTTTGCCTTATTGAAACTTCTCTGTCCATACCCACATCCGGTGAACAGGGCGGGTTAGAGTCCAGCTTGAGTGAACTGTGATAGAAATTGATCCGGTCCACTGCGTTGATGAATGGTTTCGCAAGAGGAATACGCTAGCTGCCTGCATTTTTCTTAGGCCGTGGCCTGTTCCTCGGAATCGTGGCCCACCTGATGGTCAGACACTCGAAATAATTGGTTTCCTACTTTAGCAAGACTCTCCGAAGGATACACAATGGTGAGTTGTTGACGAAACGTAAGCGTTAGGCTAAGCCGTAGATGCAAAGTCTACGTCTAAGCCCAATTGACCTAAGAACCGAGAATATCTCTTTGTTACTGTTGTTGACCGGAATCGAAACTTATTTATATGGATTGCCATAGGGTAAGCTGCTTACTTTGTTATGAGAATGAAAACCTGCCCTGGAAGTGTAAGCTAACGTTAGGCCTGTGTTCATTTTACTTCAAGGGGCGTGGTAAACTAGCGTTGATTATAAAATGGTTAGCTTGGATAGCATACATGCTATTTGCTGAATTATAACTCAAGCTGATATTTTTTCTGTAAGCAACCTACAAGTAAGCAAGCAATTATCTGCAAGCAAGATGGTAGTTTTTTCTGAGATTTAACTGTGGGTTATAAGCACACAAAAATGAAATTCATAACTCTCTTCATGATGAGATGGCATTAGCAGAATCATTGGACTAGAACTCTGCAGAACCTGGGTATGTACTCAGGGTATCACTGCTGGATAATGCACAAAGCTGCAAGTACATCCTTGGGATTCCAGATGGAGAGGTTACTATAGGCCTATATTATTGGCCTAATAATGTTTATTTTGCCACAGGGGCATGGGAAAAAATGTTAAATTAGTGACTAGCTGGAACCTGCCTAACCAAATTTATCATTTCACTTTTTAATCTTAGAGTGTATTTCATTTGAATCAGACATCCATGCAATAAGACACTTTCCATGTATGGGTGTCAAAAGCAACTGAAAAAGGGTCCTACTCAAGTAAAAGACACTGTAATATCAATGAAGATTGCTCAGGAAGAGGGAGCCATCCAAGACACCACTAGGTAATATAATATCTAGGAGTTTTCTGGATGCTATTTTGCTTTCTTACAGTTCAGGTAATTTTTCCCTTCTAAACAGGGAAATTCAACTCCAGGTTTATTGAAAAGTTCCTTCATTCTCCCTCTTTTTATATCTTCTCCAATAATACCTTTTGTGGTATGCTGACCATAACCTGTCCATACTAAGATAGAATTTCAGATGTGCTTTAGGTGTGTTTGCTGGTGGATGCCATGGATTAGAATACCAGATACTGCAGCAGTTGATAATGCCTTCATTTTGTAACACCTTTAACATGGATCATTGTTTTATTAGTTTGCACCTTCTTGTATGCTTAGGAAACAATATGGAGAGCACTGTCAGTCCAGTTATATACTTACATAAAACATTAAATGAGGGAACACTTTTTTTTATTTATAAGTTGATCATACCATGGTACACCAGAAGCAAAAATCTCAGTACAAGGAGGTGTAAAGAAAAAGAACATAGAAGTGAAAGGGTAAACAAATACTTAAATCTCCTGCTGGGGTTAAGTCTCCATTCATCTAGTGTCTTGCAGGCTTCACTTGCAAGTCACAATTTTCTGTTTGCATGGTAGTTTGATATCTATAGATCTGCCTTAAAATCAAAAGGACACAGAGGATTCTAGAGCCCAACTTGAATCATCACAAATCAGGAATGTCCATCAGCATGACTACTTTATTACCCTGAAATCATCATAGTAAGCATTAGTCTTTGGGGAAGGGTACAAGAACCCACTTACCCTCCTGTATTTCTGTCAATTGATGCAAATAAGATATGGTACTGGTATAGCCATATCCTTATTTAGGCAATATTATTAAGAAATATAAAAAATATAGGTTAATTAAAAAAAAATCATTTCAAATGTGTAGCTGAAGGCACCTCTAGCTGCAGCTCTTCCCTTGGTGGTTTCAATCTTCTTTTGTGGCTTTGAGGAATCATATCAGGATCCTTGACAATTTTTTTTTTTCAGAGACAAAGTGCATTGGCATATAGGGGCTAATGTGAAGACCACTGTTTTTCTTCTCAAAGTCAAATGCAAATCCACTGTATCCCTCTGCATTCCAGGTGTACCACTGGCAGAGCCACAATGTGAAGGTTTCTGGTGTAGATGACATGGTCCTCCTCTCCAAGATCACAGATGATGCCATTGTTGAGAATTTGAAGAAGCGATTCAATGATGACTACATATTTGTATCCTTTCCCTCAGCTATTTTCTTACCACTCTAGCTTGGTATATGAATATCATTAAAATTCATTCATTCAAGGCAGAGCAGACTGAAATCCTCCCAAGAAATAGGAATTGCAGAATATTAAAGTGATTGCATTTTTGGATGGGTTTGTTCTGTAATATGGTATAATCCAAATGTTAAAGTTTTATTTTTTGCACTTTGCATACATTTTGGCTATTCATCTTTGCCTCATTAGGATATAGTACTGGAGCTCCTTAAAGCGCTTTAAATATGAGTTATTCTCATTGCAAAAAAATAACACCAAGATGTTGAGTGGTTTTATGAAAGTTGGTACACAAGCTTGTGACATGTCATGAAGTCAGTGTGAGTCATAGGATGGGGATGAGATGAAAAAATCGCTGAGTGCCCAAAGAAAAGGGTAAGAGGATGGTTTCACTTATGATAGACCTATCAGTTTCCTTTTCTTCTTCTCCAAAGCTGCTTTGCTATTTTGCCATTGTTGAGTGTTCAACTATAAAGCCTCGCCAAGGTGAATTCTTCAAATGCAATTTCACCAAGCTTGTTCTTGACTTTAATTGATGTAGATTGTGATGGATAGCAATATACCATTTAACTTGCATTAATTGATCAAAGATTAGAACAAGTTGGTGAAATGGACTTATAAAACTTAGTATTGGCATGGTTTCACTTTTAAAAACACAGCTATTACAAAACACCAAAGTGGCTCAAGGGAAGAGAAAAAGGATACTGTGCTTATCTGTGAAGCCACTGTCTTCTTCTTTTCCTTGGAGGTTCAGCAACCTCCTGCACTTTCTGGAATAGGCAGTGTTTGGAAAGTTAAGTTCTTGAATTTCAACTTACACCCTTGAAACAGTTATGGATTTTTGGACACAATGCTACTAGCTTGTGTACCAAATTCAATCAAGGTTGCTCAACGCCTTAGTGCTATTTTTTGGTAATTAGTGTATAAGTACAAGTAGGCCAGTATGTTTTTTTAAATAGTAATAGTGGTTGTGTCTATTGTAGATTATCCTGCATGGAGCTGGAACTGGAGTCATTGTTAACTGTTTGTTTGCTTAGGAATATGTTATGTTACACTTCATGAAAATTTTTCCTTAATTAAGGAATTCCAGACTTATATTGGCCCAGTGCTTGTCTCCATCAATCCTTTCAAGAAGCTCCCATACTTCAGTGACAAGGAGGTGGAACTATATCAAGGAGCAGTGAGTGTTTGTTCTCTGTCTTCCTTCTTCTATAATGGAGCCTTTTGTGAGGAAAGAAGGAGGTAATTCTCCAATCCCTCTGGTCTGTATGTCTTGTTGCCTCTACAAGCACAAAATGAAGAATTATGTTGATTGTAAAGATATTTAGCATTCATAAACCTTATGGCAAGGTTTAGGGTGATATTTTTGATGAAAATATAAGCATATTTAATGTTAATTAATTTTGGATTTCTGTTTGATCACCCTAACTTGAGCATTGCTGCCTCCTGGAAGGAAAACTCCATTATGTATCATATATCTCTTGTATAGTTTGTTAAATAATTATGTAAATTTTCTTTCAATTGTATTTTATTATAGAATGGGTTCTTATTTACTGGATGTTCTGAGTTTTGTGTACTACAGGCTGTCCCTAAATCCTCTTACAATTTCAAAAATGTACATTCAAGCGAGCTGTTGAAAGTAATTGTATATTCTTGTAAAACTGAAATAAATGACAACAAAGCAAGGTGATACATTGTCTTCTCTATTGAAACCCTTTTGTGTGGCATTTGTATTTGTATGTGTATGTTGCATCACATTGATTGAAGAATGCAAAAGCCCTTCCTACCATCATCTGAGAGGAATTGCTGCTGTTTCTGCTATAATGCGATCAGCAAATTACTGAACATCAATAGGTTTCATGACATAGCATTACTTAAAATTCCACTTGAATTTAGAATTGTATACTTGAAGTAAGTAGAGCTGAACAAAAGAAATCCCAATTGGAGATCAGAGATATATTATGGCTTTCTTCAAATTCATTCACTGTTGTGGGTAGCATTAATTTATGCTGCATGTTGAGCATACTTGATGCATAGAAGCAGTTGTGTTATACAGGATGACTCTATCAAATCCAAATCCAGTCCTCAGCTTCCTTTGTTGCTTGTTCAGAATGAGTTAAATGATATATTTATTGGTTCTTTCAGGCTCAGTATGAAAACCCTCCCCACATCTATGCTGTGGCAGACAACATGTACCGCAATATGATGATTGACTCTGAGAGCCAATGTGTCATCATCAGGTTGGTTCTTTCCTTCATTTTTAAATGTGTTTTAATCATATGGTGTAATGTCTTATTTTCCATTATTAATTATCTTTATTTTCCATAGTGGTGAATCAGGAGCTGGGAAAACTGTAGCAGCCAAGTATATCATGTCATATGTGGCTCGGATTTCTGGAGGTGGCGATCGAGTTCAGCACACAAAGGATGTGATTTTAGAGTCTAATCCTCTTCTTGAGGCCTTTGGCAATGCCAAGACTGTCAGAAATAACAATTCCAGTCGCTTTGTATGTATCATTGAAGAAAACATTCTTGAAACGAAGCATTCCTTACCCAGCAATCTCATTTTGATATCTTCTGTGCAGGGAAAGTATGTGGAGATTCTGTTCAGCCCTGGAGGAGAGACGCTTGGAGGTAGGATTTCCAATTTCCTGCTGGAAAAATCTCGAGTTGTAAGCCAGAATTCAGATGAGAGGAATTTTCACATCTTCTATCAGCTACTTGCTGGAGCTCCTCGACAATATCAAGGTAGGGGAGTCTGCCTTCTTGTGCTTACTGTCATATCAGAGTGGACATTTTTGGCATACACTTACAAGTGTTTACAAGAGTATTTTATGAGTAGCAATTTGATTTCTAATTTTAAAATCTCCAAAATTGAAGAACTCATTTGTTTTCCTTGACTAGATTCTCTAGGATTTTTGAAGTACACAAGTATTTGACTTGGCACATTTGAGGAGGGGAATGCTACATCAATCATGATTTGTGAACCTCTTACATGTTATGCTTTGGACTGGTTGCATTGTATTTTTTTCCTTTGAATATACTTTAAGGAAAATGTTTTTATACTTTAGGACTAATGTCCCTGAGATTGGAGTCATGACAAGAGAATGTGACTCTTGTTGCCATAACATCAGTAGTTTGTGTTTCCAGCAGTACTAAGAAATGGCATCATGGTAGTGCTGAATTTTTGCCTCCTTCCTCTCACATTTATTTCAGGGAAACAAGAATGCTCATCAACTTCCATTGCATAATAACAATCCCAAAGACAGGTTTTAATTAATTGTCAGCCTTTTTTTTTTTTTTTTTTTACATCCATTTGAATTTGAAATCAAATAAATACTTAATGTACTGTATCAAGAGGTTTCATAGATTATAGTTAGCTTCCATTTTAGTGGGACTGTTTTCCTGAAAGGAAAGAGACCACTCATGTTCCCGTCCTGTCTGTCCATGTGTCAGTTTGACACTTTGGTTGTCTGATGATAACTAAAATAGTATTGGCCTGATCAATGTGAAAATTGGCAAGCTGTTAGATATGAACAAGATATAGGCTGAGTCTGTTTTGTGATGAATTCACACAAAAATTGGCATTTTTATTGCAAATTTTGGATTTGAAATTTGACCCTGGAGGGAAAAGCATGAGTACCCGTAAGCTCTTCAGGTTCTGGACCACAATTCGCATGCATGTATAACCCAAGCTTTGGGTCCAGTGCCGCGTTAGCAACCAGAGCTGTCAATTCCCTACCAACCTTCCTGGCAGATGGATCCAACCACGAACAGCCCTCCATCCTTCCATCATCAATTCAGAGGCACCGTTTGTCTATGTTTACCAAATATAAATGAAAAATGAGGTTTTTTATGTTCGAAGACCAGAAAGAGATGACATTTTATACTTTTAGGTGACAAAATGAGGGTTTCCTTAGCTGAAAGGAGACCCATTATATGTTGAAAACTTTCATGTTTTCCCGAAATGTTTTTTTCTTCCATTTATGCCAAATTTTTGTCTTTGCTTATACTTTTTTCATAGAAAGCCTGGGCCTCACAGATCCTGAATACTTCTATTACTTAAGCCAAAGTGGCATTTATCGAGTTGAAGGGACCAATGATGCTGTGGACTTCCAGGAAACACTTAAAGGTAAAGTGTTTCAACTGTGAACAGTTTTTCTTCCTGCTGCATTGCAAAGTTTACAAAGAAATTTTACATGTGTTCGTATCCAAATGTTTCAAATTCAAGGTATTGGTTTTTCTTTCCTTGCAGCTATGTCTGTGATGGGGTTCAGTGATGAACTGCAGTCAGACATCCTGTCAGCAGTTTCTGGTGTGCTTCACATGGGGAATATCCAGTTTGTGGAGAAAGGGAACTATGCACAGATCAGCAATCATGAATGTAATCAATCTCTCTTCAAATTACATTCCCCTGCATGAATGTTACTGGTATCTGTAGACCTACATATTTATGGCAGAATGGCCCCAGATTTAGTATTTTCAGGCATGCTTAGACATGATGGCCATTAACCCTTTCACCACAGAGTTATATTTGGAATCATGGCTGAGAGTGATGATGGAAAGAGAGTGTACTTGGGAGCAGCTGCACAAGGGTTAAGATCTCATTGATGCTGAGTTTCACATGTAATTCCCATCCTATTGTTAGTTTGCCCCTGTGGTGTTCTTGGTTCTATGCTGATGATGTTCTCCCAACTCTGTGGACATCCAAATTCAAGCAATCCTCGAGAGATTACTCACCTGATCTTAGGGAAAACATGCCAGTTAACACAACAGAGATTAAGGAAGTCAAGTTTCAAAGAGTTTACTGGAAAAAAAAAACAAGAAAGTAATGCTCCTGGGATGACTGTATCACTGAGAAATCAGTGATGTTTATGTTTTTGCCCCTTTTGATAACTGTGTTGGTAACTCATAACTAAAATTGAATATTTGTGCACTTTGATGCATGCACAAAACAAGTTATCAGCAGGAACTAATATTGGCTCATTTTAGGGAAGTTCTGCCCTTAATTCTAATTGGAGCATTGAAAACTAATTCTCTTGCAAAAAGTACTATTTTTCAGCCCTGTGGTATGGTTAATCCTTTGGAACTCTTTTCAAGGAGACCAAGGTCACCCGCAAGCGCTATTCAGTATATATCAGTACCTTATCATATCAGAAAAGGTAACATGATTGCAAAATCCTGCTTTTCCAGAGATTTTGAATACGAAGAGGCACCAGATTTATTTTATTTTATTTTTTAAATTTAAATGAAAAAAAAAAGTCAAACATTTTTTGCATCAAGGATTAAGTGCTTCCATTATGAAGGGTCTGGTTCACTTTCATTGAACTTCTTCTAAGAGTTAGTGTCTTTTGGTGAGCAATATATTTAAAAAATGAACCTCTTTATTGACATCAGTAGAAAAATAGTTCACTTCAGCTTTTACCAATTTGGACAAAAGCTGGCAGTGATTGCCAATGTTTGAAATTCTTTGGGAAATGGTAACTGCTTTTGGGTGATCTTCCTGACATTGTTGATGAAATATAATTGTAAAAATTGCTATGCATTGTGAAAGGTCATTGGTCAAAGTCACAGTCCCCTCTCTGTCCATCCACAAAGCATTGGAGCTGCCAAGAAAGTCTTTTTACTGCCAAGCAGTAGGAGTTGAATGCTCATTTTTGAAATGAGCCTTGACCTCCACTGTAGAACCCAAGTCTCCATTTCTTGCATCATATCTGACTAAAATGAGATCATACATGGCTTAGCTTGATGAGTGGATGATGGATATGTCTCCTTTACCTTATTATAATAGATTGGATGGTTGAAATACTTTTACTGTGGCAAAATTTAGTGACTGTGTAAGTCATTGATGGTACACCTGATTGCATTATGTGAATAGAGTAGGTAAACCTTAAGGAATAGCTGTGCCAACTGGCTGGTCACCCTTGAGGCATCTTTATTTGGCATGTATTATGGGGAAGTCACTCTTTTTCATGCATCAGCAAAGAAGCCTTTTTCACCCACTGCTGAAGACAACTATGATTATGATGTTCATTGACTTTCTTGCTATCCACTATGGTAATATGGATGTGCAATCTTGTGATGATCAGCAAGAGATTATAATCTCGAGGATATTTGTGTGAACTGGCAGTGGTTTTATGGTCGTTTGTTTTTTGGCTGAGTTGTTTTTCAGTGCATGTAAGAGTTGTTACTTTCTCCCTCTGGATTTTGCTATATGCCTGGTGCATGGTGCAAGGCAAATGCAAAGATTGTATTGGATTGATTTAAGGTTATTTAGGAGCCATCTTGATCTGCAGTACTTGCATTTGTCTTAAAATGATTATTTTTTTATTTTTGGATTGTTGCAGTCCTGAACTATCCTGCATACCTGTTCCAAGTGGACCAGTCCCAGTTGGCTACAAAGTTGATCAGCCGGACCATGGATGGTCGTTGGGGTGGGAAAAGTGAGAGCATCCATGTCACATTGAACGTTGAACAGGCAGCTTACACCCGGGATGCATGGGCCAAAGGAGTCTATACACGACTCTTTGATTTTATTGTGAAGGTGACAGGAACTCACTATTGAATTCTTTTTCTGTTTTCCCCTTGGGAAGGAATGCTGACACAAACAGTTGTGGATGATTGCAGGCTGTGAATGAGGCCATGGTGACAAGAGACACTGAACTCAAAATGGGCATCCTGGACATCTATGGGTTTGAGATCTTTGGGCGCAATGGATTTGAGCAGTTCTGCATCAATTATGTCAATGAAAAACTGCAGCAGATCTTCATCGAGCTCACTCTAAAAGCAGAACAAGTCAGTCAACATTTCACTATCTCTAGTGCAATGGAAATATTGTATGTATGTGGTGTGCATCATGCCTCAGTTTTTGTGCCTTGTACATATTGTACTGATACTGAGCATGAAGACTTCAGCATGTCAGCTGACTGCATAATTGATCCTTTATAATAAGAACTGATTGTGTCTGTTCTTGGCTGAAAAAAGTGAAACAGCATCCCTCTTTGTCTGGTATATGATAAATCAATTACCTTATTGACCAATATGAAAAAGCCATATCATATGCTTAAACTCTATTTAACTGGAACTATTGTATAACTGTTACTAAACGCTAGTCTGAAACTTTATCTGAAATGAGAGATATGAACTGAAAAAGAGACTCTTGCAATTTCCTTTTAAGTCCTTATTGAGTGACTCATTGATGGCTTCCACCTACCATTTTGGACCATATTTTATGCCTGAATATCTATCAGTATGGTGTTGGATTGAAATGAGCCACTGATAGAATATCCCCAGATTAAGTAAAACTTATGTCAAATACCCCATGGAAATCGTTGAAAGTCTCATGAACTTGTCATCAGCTAATAAGATGCTACCCCAGAAAACTCATCTGTAAAATAAATCCATAAAATTTTTAATTGAAAAGAAAATAGGCCATGCTGAAATAACAGAAGTGATACCATTCTCTCGTGAAAAGTTTAGGTAAAACAGCACATCATACAAGTTTTGGCAAACCACATTTTATATCCTAGATTCACAGCAATTGCTTGTAGTCAGTCTTTGATCGCTTTATTCTCTGTAGCAGTGGCCTTCAGGGGATCAACACCATGCCCCTTTAATTGCTATATGCATACTTTGATTCCTGCCAGGTTCATTTGTACTGCTTCAAATGTCATGTGATTTTTCAGGATTTAGATCATAAGTGCCAAGAATTCCTTTAAAGCCATGACATGCCTTTTTGCGATAAATTTTATCTTGGAAAATTTAAGTCTCGTTAGCTACAGCCATTCCAGACAAGAATTTGGAAACATGGAAAAGGTTTTTGATCCCCCTTGCTCAAGAAACTCAATGCTGAAGAGGTTAAGATGGCACTGGACAAGGAAGAATCTCTAAGTAACAGCTAGATATGTTTTTGCTACATGATACTCAAGAGCTGAGTGAAAAACTACCCATGGAACCATCCTCATATATCATACTAACAGAGGTACCCGGCGTTGCGCGGGTGAATATTGTATATGTCCCAAATTTGAGGGTTTAATATTGTTTTAATGCCTCTTTGATATTGTTGAGGTATCCAGGTAGAAAGTTTAAGTAACTTTTAATACACAACCAATTGCAAAATTCCAGTAGCAAGCAGCATGTTACAGCTTAAATTTTTTTATGAGCCCCCAAAATGTTGACTCCTTGGGGGATCTGTAGTAGTGAATCGGCCTAATATGCACTAAATAAGGTACCCCGGCGGGTGGGGGGTCCGAATTTTGAAACGCCACCTGGCCTTGACCATCCCCGGACCAAATGAGGATGTCATGCAAAGTTTGGTCGGGCTGGGATCAGAAGCGTGGCCGTGCATAAAGGACAGACACACACAAACATTGAAATATAAGTAGTATAGATAGATTGCAGAGGCATCTTGCTTCTGGCAAGAGTTTCATGGTTTAGTTCTGTTCAGGAAAGAAATGAGAGACTCACAAATGTGTTTATCCATCATTGTTCGAATTTCGCTAATTTCTCATGGATATATAAAGAAGACAAGAGTTCAAATGCCATAACGTAATTCCCATATTTGATAGAAGAAAATGTGGACTGAGGTGTGGTTGTGGGACTGGTGTTTGTACTGAAAAATCAAAGCTGTTATATAATTTTTTTTTCTACCGACCAAATGCTCGCTTGAGTTTGCACCACATAGAGTAGCAATAGTTGGCAAAGGAACGGAACTGGCCCGTGACGGTATTGCTGCGCCTCATGGAACCCATCGGTCCCATTGGCCCCATTGGCCTCATCGGAGGCCTCCGCATGACGGCTCGATTGCGGGCCATCATCGCCACGGGTCCGCGGGGCGGCGGGAGGACTCGTGGGAACCCGCGGAACCGTCGGAACGGTCTCGCAGGCATTACGCCTGGGTTTCCACCTGGGTTTCCTCCATTTCCACCTGGCTGGTCCCACTGCTTTATGAACCGCTCGTAGATCTCTTCGGGGGTGGCGGCTGACGCTGCAGCGTGGTTCTCCCGCTTTTCTTGTTGGATCAGTTCATCCTTGATATCCTGGAGGAGCTCAGAGACATCCGATTGTTGGGCCGAGTACCACTGGTTCCCATTGAGCCACACTCGGCGTGGTTGTTGCGAGTAGGCCGCAGACAACGCGACCAAGAATGTCAGGATTTCCAGCGTCAACATCCTTCCTCTTGCACGGGACTGCTCACAAAAAAAAGAGAAATAATCGTTTATGATATTAGAATTTGGAACTGTTGCATCTGCTGACCGCGACAGATCTAGCGGGGGATCCGCAGATTTTGCCTGATCCTACGTCTTTCTTCAGTATGGCGGATCTATTAGGAGTAGGTTGTTTACTATTAGGAGTAGGTCCTTCAGTTAGTATCTATTAGGAGTAGGTCCTTCAGTTGCCTGAAAAAATAGTGACCAGTGAAGGAGATTATTCGCGCATCATCCCTTGCCTTCCTTTTTTTCATGCCTCCATACCCTCCAGTGAGATGCCTTGCTCTAGTTCTATTCCGGAGCACGTGACCAGAGACGAAGTAACTAGAAATTATGAAATTATTAAAATGTTATCTCCCTTTTGGAAAGCGGTAGGTCTATACTCAGACGCCCGATGTCCCTCAAAGAGGCCATTACAGCAAATAGAATTTCTAAAGAGTCTTTACCATGAGAAGTGGTAGGGCTGTTTCCTAATCTTGGAAGGAAATAGATCCCTGACTTCAAGTAGCGATAATAAGTTCCTTTGGTACATTTAGATTTTGCAAGAATGGATTAACTCCCAGAGAAATTGTAGCTCTGAAACGTATCAATTTTGTCGTACTCCTATGAATTCGTCCTTGGAAGAGTAAAGGAAGCAGTTTCGTGTTTGGATGTACTATACAAGTATATATTTTATTTATCGCAAAAAACTAAAATCAATGAGTTTTGCCACATTGATGCAATTTTGTGCAGAAACGTGTAAAAGTGAATGTATGAGATTTGACCTCCACCCCACAAAGTCGTGGGGTGGAGGTTACAAAAAAAAGGCGTCAACTCGGCCGACACGCCTGCTTTAACCTGCACTTTTAGTTTGTCATGGGCCGAGTTACGAAAGAAAGAACGGAACGCATGATTGCATGATACAATGATTCTTGTCGCGCATGACCCGAGTGAAGACTTAATCTGTCCCCTAGTGTGATTCCCTCATGCAAGAATTGCTAAACCGGTCAAGTTCAGAGATCTGCCTTGGACGATGTCGTCTGGGCAGTGCTTCACAGCTGGCCTCAGCTGTAACGAAATAGTGAACTGGCATGAGCGAAGATCCCTCCCTCTTCAAATGAGGCGTGCGGCGTGTTTCCTCGCTTAAAGAGTTAGGCTAATTACGACCATGAAACTTCCGTCAGTTTTGTTATGTATGAGTTCCCACGTGAAATTTCATCAGCATAACTGAACTCCGTGATGCGTGTGAGTTTAATTTTGCAACGTGTGCTAGAGGATGGAATGGTATCTCCCGGAAACAATCTAATATCTAATACTTTAATTGAAAGAGGCCGAAAGTTGCGGTGGCTGTCACTCCTAACGCGCGAGGCCTACGATGCTATGCCATTCTACGCTATAAGCCAGGCCTACAAGGCTCTGCCATTTTGGGCCATAGGTTAGGCCATTCGTGATTTCTTTGTGAGGTGTGCTCTCGATGATAATAAAATTAGCTGCGTGACAACAATTTCGAACTTCTCGAGAGTTGTTTGAAAATTTTTAATGTTTCGTTTGAACCGAATTGCTTCAAATCTTTATGCAAACATTTTCACATTTCCGCCCATTAGACGGCCAGCGTAGCGGCCGCAGACCGCTAGTATTTATATATTTGGCGCCTGGAGGTTGAGAGGAGGCTAGAGATATTTCTGGACATTGATCGTGATGGTATTAAGATGACCTGTTGGAAGACACTTTGCACATGGGAAAAAGAGGAAGGAAAAAAGCGGAATCCATGCATGAAATGATGACCGAGAGAAGCTTATCCGAAAGAACCAGGAGCTTGACCATCTCGTGATCTCGGATTCCGTTACCTCCTCAAGTCCGTGAACGCTTCCTCTTTTTTTTTGCTTTCTTCTTTATGTAGCCGAGTCCGGCATGAATCCATCCTATGTGTGGCTGTTTTAAAAACATCGATGCATCGCGGAAATTATTTACTGACTCTGAACAGCGTGGAAGAGGAGGAAGGGGGAGGGGGAGATTTGCTGGTGGACTCCGTCATCTAGCGATCGGGAGAGGTTACCTTCGGTCATTTCTGGCTGGCATTGATTGAGGGGGGGAGGGGGGCTGCCGAGCGAGAGGGAATGGCCATGACCATCAAGTCATCGATGCAGCTGTCGATAATGACATCGATGCATCGTAACGGCCCTAATTGTATACTGGTGAAGAAACGCGGGTGCTCAAGCACGTTCTTTGTTCTATTTCCCTCTCAGATATTTTACCCCCTTATTATTCTCAATATCGAGGCTGAAAAAAAATATATAAGAACATGGAACTATTGTTTTTTTTTCTTAGTTCCTAAAATGATGCTGACTAAATGTATTGTGCCGTCGTCACTTCCGTGATGACGATTCCGCTCAGTCTAGCGCGACAAGCCTACGGCTTTTCTATGTGCAGAATCGTGCACGTCAGGTTAACTTATGCGCAGTTGATGTGGATTTTATATGGTATGGGTACTCGATTTTTTAAATGCTTTACCAGCAACAAGAAAATTGTTGGCTAGCATTAGGACTCGCATGGGCATTATCTGACGGAGAATAACAAGATTCGACTATTCTCTATGAAGGCCGTGAT